TCTCTGCCCCGGGCGGGCGGGCGTCGGGTCGGGATGCACCACCCCAGGTCCCGCAGGAGCCCGCCGGGGCCCTGACCTAAAGGTCCTTCGGAAGGACCCCGTGCCCGACTCCTCCATCCCAAGTTGTCAGAGCCGTGACCTTGGGAAAACAGTCCAGTTTAAACACGTGAAACGGACGAAAGCCTGTCTTTTGGCCTTTCGTAAACACTGAGACAGTAGTTATGTAAAGTTTTTATGAGAGTTCTCTATAATAATCAGGGACTGTACTAAGCATTTCACTCATGTTTTGCAAAATAATTGGGTCTTAAAGGAGATGTTAGTCCCAATAGCTTACGTCCCCACTTAGTACACACGTATATTTTAATCAGATGCTTAGTTTTGTGCTGATGCCACAGATTTCAGTGTTTTCTCACTTGACCAAGCAGACATAATTTCCCCACCCTGCGTGGGAGAGGGAAAATACTCTTGTAGTGGGTGTGGTGAGTTTGGAAGGTTTTTTTTTGCCAGTTACCGGCAGTGCCTTGTTCAGTAGATACTTCCCTCTCTCATAATTGAATTGCAACTGCAAGACTAGAATGACAAGTTTAGTTTCACATTCCCAATCACCTTTTATTTCCCTTTGCATAAAATGACAGTAAAGTTTGAATGTTTTCTGTATGCCAAGTACTGTACTAAGTCCTCTGTGTGATTGTCTCTATCCTCATGACCCCAAGAAGTAGGTACAAACAACGTACAGATGAGGTTTGTGGCTGTTCAGTAATCTGGTCAAGGTTATAGTGCTGCGAGTTGTGGAACCAAACAGCTATTCAACAAAACCTATGATACTTATTGCTGGGCAATAGTTCTTGGTCCCTTTTGTAAAATTTGGATATCATTAATATATTTGGAGGTAAAATTTGTGGAGTTACAGGAAATTAGAAAATGAGAAAGTCACAACCTTACATGAATCTTGCACTGATTAGAAAATACTGTACGTGCATTTTGTTTAGAGTGTCACCTTATTCAGTTGTGTGTTCAGAAAGGTTTCTTAGATGTCAGTGCCAATCTGTAGCATATTTATAACCTAGACCTTTTTTTGTTTAGTGTTAACAAAAACCACCTCATGGTTTTACGAGATTCTGTTTTGAATGATTGGGCCCTGTCTGAGAAAAATGGGTAAAAAAGTTCACATTAAAAAAAAAAAAATCTTTAAATCACAACTTTCAGACTTGGAAAGGACACCTAATTAGTGTTATATTTGAAGCATCACAGTTCTGAAATCCTCCCTGCCCATGTATCTGCTACTTCTTTATCCAAATATCCAAATACCTTAACGAAATACGGTGAAGGTTTGCAGTGGTATTTTTGTAAATAAAAAACGTACAGAAGTTCATTTTTCACTGATTAATCAGTATTCTATGTTTGATAGGGGGTTCCTTTAGAAACATAGGCTAGAAAGAACACATACAGTTCTTTTATTTCTTTTCTTTATATTTTTGTGGTGCTTGGATAGAACCCAGGTTATTGAATGTCTTAGCAAGGTCCATGAGCTATATACTTGGCCCTACATACACACTGCTTTTAATTTTAAATTAATAATATAATAGACAAGAAGAAATTGGAAAGCATAGACATAATCACATGGAACATTTCCCTTTTTATTTGAGCAGGTGCGGTGTAGTTACCTTTTCATTTGGGGAAACCATAATAGTTGTAGGTGTGGCTTTTTCATACTGATCTTTGCAGCTGAATTTACTGTGTTCTGTGCAGAATGGCTGTTGATGGTGGGTGTGGGGACACTGGAGACTGGGAAGGTCGCTGGAACCATGTAAAGAAGTTCCTCGAGCGATCTGGACCCTTCACACACCCTGATTTCGAACCAAGCACTGAAGTGAGAGACGTTTATTTTTAAATAACTGCTCTAATAGTTTTTTGTTTCAAAAATAATAAAATGCTTCCTTTTAAATTTGCTTCTATGATTCAAGTACTACTAAGTTTACTTTGTGAAACTAAATCTTGAAGTGTTAATTGAAGATAGCTAGTTTTTACTTGATTAATATTTGAGTCATTTCCACATTTCTCATATAAGTTGAAATTTTCAAGAGAAAATGATTTTATAACTACATTTTGAATACCAGTGCGCTTAAAATTGCAGTTTAAAATGATTTCTTAGGTATATTCCCATTTTGTAGCCCCACTATTAGAAATAATTTTGACAGGAATATAAATATGCTTGTTTAAATTTTGAAATTTATTTGGAATGAACATCTTAGTATATTGAATGTGATTAATTGCATGTTAAAAGCATGTGTGCTATATAACAGAAACATAGAATTTTGGGCTGGTGTCTAATTTAAGTACATGTTCAGATAGAATTTGTTTTTTATTACAAGGTTTAAAAAATGTTTATAGTAAATGTCTATGGGCTTTTGTGTTCATGAAGAGATAAAACTTGGAAATAGAAATATTGAGGTACTCCTAGAAATTAATGTGCAAATGCTCGAGTTTGGCTTGGAGTCTTGAGTACCTTTACTCCTGTAGTGTTGGACAGAATTGGCAATACTAATTCAGCCTTTCTTTGGGTAATGCACCATATTTTCTTGTGATTTTAAAGTTTTATTGCCTGACAATTTAGGATTGTCACTCTTTTAAATGATTGTTCTACAATATTTGTGCCTATATGGGATTTTTCTAAGAGTTTTTTTTTTTTTTCTGGCATCTTATATTTTGAGAGTTTTACCCACTGTATTCCTTTTTTTTTTTTTTTTAGAACTTTAAATACTTTTCAATGCTTGATTCTGTTTTTAAGATTTCTAACTTTTCTAAGAAGTCAGTAAAATAAGTGCTTCTTTCAAAAATGAAAGGGAAATAACTAGAAATAGTTTTTTGTTTTGTTTTTGCATTAGAAATACCCTCTTACTAGGCATGGTACATACCTATAATCCCAGAACTTGGGATGCTGGGGCAGGAGATTGTTGGTCTTAGAATTTTGAGGTCAGCCTGGGCTGCATAGTGAGTTCAAGTTCTACATAGC